CTAATAAAGTGGCCGGTGAGTGTAAATATTAGTGAAATCATCTTGAACCACACTCCATACCAGTAGGTGGCAGTAATGCACACCTTCAGTTTATTGCCAACTGCCATTAAACACCACAAGAAGAAGAACAACAACAACTGAACCCAGCAGGCAGCTTTTCTCCTCTCAAAAATCCTGGGGCTCCTGGAGGGGATGCAGGGTGAGCTGGCTGGCCTTAGGGTACTCTTCGCTTCAGGGGTCCCATTGAAGCTGGTGGTGCCAGGGGTTTCTGAAGCCCACCCTCCCCACCCCTCTGATTTGGACCCTCCTGCTCTGGTTCCTGTGCGTCCTCCAGCTCTGGTTCCTGTGGGCCCTTCAGCTCTGGTTCCTGTGGGTCCTCCTGCTCTGGTTCCTGTGAGTCCTCCTGCTCTGGTTCCTGTGGGTCCTCCTGCTCTGGTTCCTGTGGGCCTTCCTGCTCTGGTTCCTGTGGGCCCTCCTGCTCTGGTTCCTGTGGGCCCTCCAGCTCTGGTTCCTGTGGACCCTCCGGCTCTGGTTCCTGCTGAGCCCTCTGCTCCTGAGGTTCCTGAGTCATCGGCTATCACCTCCATGTCGCCTGGTTCGGCTGCCGTCGCCTCCTTGTCCCCTCTGTCGCCTGTGTTCGCCTTCGCCAAGACTCTGGCTCCATCAACCTCCGCCGGCTCCTCATCGCCTCTCGCCTCCTCCCTTGGCTCCACGTCTGCTCCTGCCTCCTCCCTTGGCTCCACGTCGGCTCCTGCCTCCTCCCTTGGCTCCACGTCTGCTCCTGCCTCCTCCCTCTGGCTCTGCTCAGCTCCTGTGGCCTTGTCAGATGTGGAGTTGGGGTCTCCAGGTCATCCTCCTGACTTTGGCCTCTGCAGCAGGGAGGTTCATGGCCGGCCTCCTGAACTTTTGTTTTTGGGGCATCAGGAGCCGTCCCTTATTGGGGGGGCTATGTCATAATTTGCGTCTGTATTAATGTTTTATTTTAGTTTCTGTCTTGTCATCTGTTTTCTTCCTCCTGTTTGCCTTTGCTCCAGCCCCGCCCACTCTCACCTGCTCCTCATGTTTCTCTCCCAGGTGTTTCCTGTTTGTGCTCATTAGTCTCAACTTTATATTCGGTGTCTTGTCTTCACTTCCCTGTCTGATCATTGTGCTGTTCACAGACTGTATGTTTGTTGCCTTGCCTAGATACACCAAGTTAGTTTTTAGCTGCCCTGTCAGCAATTTTTGTTTAATAAATCTTTATTTTTTCCTTTTGGAAGCTGCCTGCACCCTGAATTCATTCTTTCCAAGCCATTCATAACAGTAATAACATTTTTGCATGTCTTGACACCCCCACTTTGAAAGGAGCCCCCTCCTCAAATTTGGGGTCTATCATAAAACCGTTGGCTCGTGCAGTGTAGATCAGACTCAAGTACAGTCCTGCCAAATTTCATGTTGATTGGTGCAGCTGTTTTTGTGCTACATTTGACCAAAAATCACTGAAAATAATAATAAACCATACGAAAACAATATGACTCCCGCTTACGCTTCGCGTGCGAGGGTCATAAAAAAGATCCTACTGCTCAAGAAATCATCCTGTTTTATTTCTCAAGAGGTTCATCTGGTAGGAGTGTGTTAGAGAAGAGAAGTGCAGTGGTCTTACAGCTGCGTTGCGGCTCTGTAGGAGCGGCTTTGTGTTCCTCAGCAGCAGACGGTGGTCTGGATCCATCACATATGGTTTCCTCTTGGCTATGGCAGCTGCCTCAGCCTTCTTCTCCTTCTCGTCTTCATCCTCATCTTCATCAGATCCATAAAACATCTTTTCTCCGCCACTCCCCTCCTCAAGCAGGGACTCCTGCAGAGACATTAATAAGGTGGTTAAATTATCTAAAAGAATAAGTCTACTGCTCAGCAGGAATTTGGTCTCTGTGTAACAAACGCTGCAAGCTAACAGATGATTCAAAAATTATTTTTCTGTGACTTGTTGGGAGAGTTGTCAGAGTATTACAGAAGAGGATTAGGGCCGATGAAAAAATAAAAAAATAATTCTGACTTTAATCTCAGAATTCTGAGATTAAAGTCAGAATTCTGACTTTTTCCTCAGAATTCTGAGATTAAAGTCAGAATTCTTTTTTTATTTTTTCAGAGGCCCTAATCTTCTTCCGTAGAGTATATTTCCACATGCAAAGGTTAAATTAATTTATTCAACCAAGTTGAATTAACAGTCATAAAAATAATGACAGTTTTATTATGTTTCTGCACAGTAACTCCAGAGAGCTATGATTAATCTGACAAAATAAAAACCTACTATTTCACTGTAGTCTTTATATATACCTACAGTGATTGCTGTGTGACACTAACTGTGTCCTTTTAATGAATTAGTTTTTATTAATGTGAATTTTATGACTCACGTTGATATTTGGGTTGAGAAACTGGGTTCTGGCATAGCGGGTCAACATGTTGATAATGACCACCTGGCCCCACTCCTCCACATCAATCAAGAGGTTGCACAGCTTCCTGTAGTTCTTGTGAATGAGTTCAATGCGCTCCGGACAAACCTCCTCAAAAGCCATGACGACACTTCCTGCCACCAGCTGCAGCACAATTTGAATCACGCAACACACAATGATGTTTCTTCCATTTTTTAAAAACACATTCTGTCACTGGAGGCTGTGTCACTAAAGAGCATTTTCAAAGAACTGAATAACATTCATACTAGATACGTTACACATTAATAAAAGCAAGAAACTTATAAACAGCTGTAATCAATACAGACACAGTTTTATGATATAAAAGATGAACAGCTCATACTAAATATTCAGGGTAAAAACAAGGGCTGGTTAAACAAATATTGGGCCTCATGAAAGAACAGTTCGTATGAACAGATTTTTTTCTTAAGTTGTGCGTACGAGTGATTTAGGAGAACTTGTGACATTCACCAATTTTCTCGTATTGTAAGTTTTTTTTCAGATACGAACAAAATTCACGAGTGGTCCATTTTACGAGCAGTCAGTCTGCTGTTATCCAGACATATTTTATTCACTAATAACTTTATATTTCATTAGTTTGAA